AAGTTTGCAAGCATCTAACTCGCGATCAATGTATGGAAATAGGAGCATTAAGAAGACTTGGCTTGACATTACAGCATATATCCGACGAACTTGGCATCAAAATAAGGCAAGTGCAACTTGCGTGTGCTCGAGAGGCTGAGAATCCTATATCCTGCAAAGGAAGCTCACCTAAATTAAGCGCGGAACAAGTTGATGAGCTCGAGGCTTTCGTCCGGGAATCTACTGAAAATCGACAGATGTGCTATTTGGAGCTAGCCATAGGGCCCTTCAGCCACTGGGGATGCAGTGAACGTCTAATTTCTAATGTACTCAAAAAAAGAGGTTACAGCAGATGCATTGCTCGGAAGAAGCAGCCTCCGTTAAGCGCGGTGAACAAGCAGAAAAGATTGGAGTCCGCCCAATTACATTTAGATTGGAGCGATGAACAATGGAGTCGCATACTGTGAACTGATGAAACCTGGGTATTGGGTGATTGTCATATGAAACCTCGTGTCACAAGAAAAGAACGTTTAAATTCTATCTAGATCTTCCTTGTACTAACAGCAGAGTTTAGCCTGATGATGAGTTTGATGAGACTTGTATTGTGGCTTGCCATGTTCATGGGAACAGCTGGATGTTTTGAGGATCATTTTACGGATCACAAAAAGGCCCATTCCTAGACTGGGAGAAGTATTGGGGATCAATGAGGTCCTCATCCTTTTGTGAAAGGACTTTGCCACTTTTGAATCAATTTCACTCGGATAATCCAGAAATTCTATACATGCACAACAACGCACCATGTCATAAAGCGTACTCAACAATTGAGGCGCTGCGTGAAATTGGAATAACGCCTATTAGATGGCCACCTTACTCTCCGGACCTGAACCCGATCGAGTCATTGTGGAATATCTTAAATTACCACATTCAGGTAAATAGTCCTGAGATAAATGGGGTTAGGCTTGTGCGCTCTGCCACGTTGAAGACATTGCTACAGGATGCATGGGACTCTATACCTTCAGAGGAGCTATTGTCACTAGTTGGCAGCATGCACGAAAGATGTGTAGCAGTGATAAAGGCAAATGGAGGGTACACAAAGTATTAGGATGGAGAAGACACACAAAACATGTAGTACGCTTTCATTTTAGTTGCGAGCCATACTGAGGGCTTCGATGTAGACTTTTGTAATACAGAGCAATAATTTTTGAAATAGATGTGCATTTTTAGAGAATATCAGTTGACTTTTTTCAATTTTGAATTGCAACTGAGGACTTTTGTACTTTTCCCATTGAGTTCAAAACCATCCCCATAATTTAGACTTTCATGGAATGTTATTGGACAGTACCCCTTGCTTGCATAACTAGTCGAGTAACTAGACATGGGCCTGCATGAAGATCATACCAATTAAGGCAATATGTACAGGGATCTAACCCCAGTTATTTTGACAATTTTACCTTTGGCATCCTTGAGAGACTGTAAAGGCGTGCTTTGAGTTTCAAGTCACCGCAAGCAACTTCGCAATCCCTACTCTCGAACGCACAGTACCCCTACGCTGCATATATCTCCTGTCCTATTGCGTGTGCGTGGCGCCCCTACATCTGTCCGTCAGTAGCAGGGGATGGCCATATTTGTCCCTAGTTCCTGATTTCCCGAGCGCTGGCATTCGCGTCAGCGTCTGGAGCACGCGTGTTGTCGGAAGTTTGTTTTCAATCCACCACCACCGCCGATTCAAGCGGGCATCAATGCTACATCAGACACGGCCATCGCCGGCAAAGACGAATTCTTTACCTTCCAGTGGTGCCGGTGTAATCGCTCGGCATTCTCTGCATATCTGCCATAATCACGGAGGACCGCATCGGAATCGAGGTCGAAAGCAAACATGAGCAAACCTGCCACGACGATTTCTGGTAAATGTCGGACCTATCGTTCCCACGCGAGTCGAACTATTGCCACACACCGCCTCGCCTCAACGATCCATCAGGTAGTCTCTCCGATTGCAGGCGAGGGCTTGACTCACGAACTGCTAGCCATTACCCACTTCAAAATTACGACGCTGCGTATGGCCGTGAGTGAGAAGCCGTAAAATACAAAGCCTGGGTCCTGGTTTATGAGGGAACAGTGCTGTAATGGAATTCTACAACTCGAGGGAGGGCAGGCGAGTGCGATGTGGAATGAGAGAGGGGAGAGATCTCTCATCGACATGCTGGCATTGAAATTTTCGGTGTATTTTCAGATATGGGGTGTTTGTGGGTGCTGAGCTACGCACTCGAGCAACTCGACGGAAGGACTTCTATCGTCACGAGGTCTACGCCACTCTCCAGTACCCCAGACGGATTAAAAGGCTTGGTGTGAGCCTCTATTCTAAGCCTCTTTGGCGCAGTGGTAACGCGTAGCACTTGTATTAATGTAATCAATGCTAAGATCACAGGTTCGATTCCTGTAGGAGGCAAGAGCGTTTGAGGTGGATCCACAAACAACGTGCCATCGGGTAATATGCGGCTAGTAGTTCCGCAAGCCCTATTCTTTTGCGTCTTTTGTATCAGTAGGGACTTAACAGGGTTACTCGCTTGACGCGTGATCCGCCAGACGTTAAATAAAGATAAATAAAATAAATAAGCTTCCATACAGCAATCACACTCTGCCGAGAAATTGAAATTTCATCGATCTTAGAGAGTTGGGAGAAGATTAGTAAGGCAGAGCCTGAATGCTCTGGAGTATCCACAAATCTGCAGCGCTCATCATCCCGGCCACTTTGAAAACTTTAAAATGATAGTTTTATCCATAGATTTAGGTATGATGTCGGTACTCGAAGAGACGCGCACTCGGTGATATTTGAGATTTTCCCTTAAGCTAAACACTCGATGGTCACCGTTTTTTTGGCCGAATACGGATGATATCAAAATAATAGCTCCCATTTGTAGGAAAACAAATGAAGTCCATGGTGTATCACCACTGGACAGAAATCATTAATTTAATTTGAGGTGCTATATGAACTTCATCCGCAATCTTCTAGGGTGTTGGTACAACGGGGTTCACTTGGTTTAATGCCTCAAAAGTGCTAAAAACAAGTGGTATATTCTGTCTATCTTTCTTTGTATCCCTCCTCAAACATTAATATCTAAAGTACGAAATAAAGCTTGGCGCCCTAATTATATCACGTGATACGCTGACCAATACTTTTGGAAGTGAACGTTTAATACAAGCCCTTTATCCCTACGCCGTTCACCTGTGAACCGACATAGGGCTTGTCAGAAAGCTTTCAAAGCTGTAATATTTAAATTTGACCTGCTCAACGTGTTCCAATTGATAGTGAGGTAATTTCCCGATAGACTACGAAGAATGCTCCAAAATGGCTACAATATCACAGTCACATACACTTTCAGCCTTAATAGATAGGGACTATACGCCCTCGTATAGTCATAGATTTTATTAGATTTTATTATAGTCCTATCTGAGTCTACAACTATAGAGGACTTCTAGCTTCTAAATGAAAGAGACTAACAAATTTTGATAAATTCAACCATTTAAATTCCCAAAATTTTCTTATAGATAGCGAGGAACAAGTCCTAATTGATAGTGGTGTTGATGATGAAGGGTTGTGGTGTCAAAGATGTCGTAGAGAATGTGTTTTTTGTCGTATAGTCATAGATTCTACGAGATAATAATCATACGTCGGCCCTACGAGTCACAATCGTAAATAGGGAAACTAGAATTAGGCTTAATCATCATTGCAATTATTTTAGAGAAAATAAGCATTCCGGCTTGATCGCCGACAACTTCCTCGTTTGGAGGTTCTGATATAGTTCAAGGGCTTGCCATGTGTTACAGGCTGCGCCTATCTCCTAGTGACTGTCGCACGGACACTTATCATTATTACGTCATTAGCCTTGCTATCTAGAGAGATGTCCAACTTGGCCATACAAATACAGGGTTGCAACAAATATGGAAACAAGATATTGTTGCAGCAAGTCTCATATGGAATCATGGGCCGATACGACCCAGATTCGCTATGACGAGCCCACTCGGAATATCAAGGATATGATGTAGTAGAATAGATAGTGAGGTTAGCGCATTGGGAGTTGGGACACCTTAAGTAGCATCCCCTCGGTGGACAGTTCCGAGATGTATGTAGAAAATAGACAGTAATCGGCCACCATTCCTTTACTATATTGTTTTGTTGATCGCCCATCACACCATGTGGTCGGAAAAGTGTGGCGGAGGATCCCTGCGTTGATCCAGAGGCACTATACATTGCCATGGCTGCAAGAATTACAGATCCACTGATCCACATTAGAATTCTAGTCATATCTGCATGAGATTGAAGATTAGTCGATCTGCAACAAGCCTCGTGGTGGCTTAACTTTCCGAACTGCTACCTGCCGTGGCACCGAGGGCCTGATTGGATAGAATAACGAGAACTACGACGGCACGAGAGCCTAGCTGATCATAAGGTAAATAGTCCAATTTATGACTTATCATTTGTCTTAAGAAACCCAATCATGACGATGATATGGAGTCTGGGTATTCTTATTGATGACAATAGCAAGTGCTCAATAAGCTTGTTAGTGTTTTGACATAGACTCTGGAACCGTGTGTAGATCTTGGGTTATGGCTTGTAGGGGGATTTACAGTTACTTTGAACGTACAGAGCTAGAATATACAGACTTCTGCTGGCTACGTTAATGTCGGGTTGGCGAAATAGGCTGTTTGAGGCAGATTATTGTGATGGAACCCTGATGTATTAAGAGATACGATCATGCATTTGGAAAAAGTTTCCGGGTCAGTTTCTGTAGAGCTGTACTAGTAATTCTCGTCGCCGCCAAGCTGAAAGATGTATACCTGTTGCGCCAGTTGTGTCCATCCCAACAGGTGAGTGATTATTTTAATTTAACAATATCATTAACTTTGAGGCATTACTCTTAGTGTAATCCTTGAAGATGGTAAAAGTTTGGACATGACTATAGATGTGACAGAGGCTCCTTCGTTCTGTAGATTGCTGATATAAGATAGTAAAGCTAAGTATTCTAAGCCCCACTGGCCCCGCTTTCACTCATTGCGGGCTCTTGCCGCACCTTATTTTGTACCCCTGAACTGCCACTCTCGACTTCCTCACTCGTCTTTTCTACGCTAAATTTTTTCCAAGCCGGCGCGCCAATATAACGTATGCTGCCGGGATATGTATCGTTGAAAATAGCGTCAATCTCTTCGAGAGGTTTTTGACTCGTTTCTGGGAATAAGAAGAAGACATGTATAAACATTGCCGCACAGAATATTCCAAATATTAGGTAAACTTTCCATCGTATATTGGCAAACGCAGGCGGTACAAAGTAAGCTAGGGCAAAGTTGAATGCCCAGTTTGCAGAAGTAGATACCGAAACTGCTTTGCTACGAAGGTTGAGAGGATAAATTTCAGGTGGGTAAACCCAAGACACTGGACCCCAGGTCGATGCATAGGCCGCTACAAATAGATATGTGCAGGCGATGACAACCTTTGATGGCGGTCCATTGATGGCGATAGACTCGGAAGCGGATGCGAATTCTCCAGGCCGCGGTGTTCGGCCATAGGAGGCTAATAGGCCGGCATTTATGAAATGCAGAGTCATCATGAGAAGTGCGCCGGTGAGGAGGGTTGAGCGACGGCCCCACTTGTCGACAAATATAATTGCAGGAACAGTCATGATGACATTTAGGATAAATTGAATGGAGGAGGGCAATAGGACATTCGATCCTAGACCCGCCATTGTAAAAATATAAGTAATGTAGTCTACGGCGTGTTAGTATCATTTCTGTATGAACTGGTCTGCTTGTCACACGCCAAATTGAGTGGCCCAAAATAGAGGAACTTACACATCATAACATTCATGCCCGTAAGTTGCGACCAAATTTGACAAAAAACACCTATATGCGTCCTGTTGATCATAGCCGGCTTCAACAAATCCATATATGTAACATCAGCAATTGACTGCTCAAACTCTACTACTTGACGAATTTCGGCCATTTCCGAAATGACGACGGGAGAGTTAGCATCGCCCCGCCCGTGGACAAGAGTCAAGATTTCAGATACTTCTTCCCACCGGCCTTTTTTGGCAAGCCATCGAGGGGATTCAGGTAGAAATAGCAAGCCAATAAATAGGAAGATGGCGGGTAGCATTTGTAAGCCCCAGGGAATACGAAAGGCTGAGGTTCCTTTTATGAATGAACATCCGTATGAAATGTAAAACATGATGAGGATTCCCCAGGTTATGGCCCATTGCTGGCTTCCGACAAGCCGACCACGCTTGGAAGGCGGTGCTATCTCGGTAATGTAGACGGGTACTTGTGCAGAACATAGACCGACAGAGATTCCATTGATGAAACGACCAATTATTAGCATGGGGATGTTCTGAGATGCGCAGACAATTATAGAGCCGATACACCTAATGTTGTGAGCGATTGGATCCAAAAATATTGGCACCGATTCCAGGTCGCAGTAACTAATATGAAATAAGAGGTATTTGCATAATCATCAGAACGACAATTATGTGGGAAGGTGAGGAGCAGAAGACATCCAAAGGAACCCTTCTCTTTTGGAACGGATGACAAATTTGGAGTAGATAAAAAACATCACTTACCATACAATAGCTCCAGTCTCAATAGCCTTTTTGCGTCCCAATCTGTCGGAGATGAAGCCCGAGAGGATTGCACCCATCCAAGAGCCTCCAGGCATGGCGGCCGTGATTCCACCTATTGATCAGAATCAGACTTGAAGCTTTCATGCAAGAGTCGAAAGTTTACCCTGCACACTGGCTCTTGGACCCGAGCATATGCCGTCTATGTCGTGATATAGGGGACCTTGATTAAAGTAGCAGAGGTAGGCTGGCGTGGAAATGATGGCAGACATGGAGCTGATATCAAAGCCGAATAGAGCACCGCCGACCACAGCAACGGCGGCGATGAAGTAGATGTTTCCGATCTTGTACATGTTGATTCGACAGTTCGCCTCGAAAGTCGAGGTTATGGATGTCCAGATGGAAATATGAGATGAATCACCGGGCCTAGCGATCCGAACCGTGGATGATTGGGGGATTTAAGCTATTTCAGGCAGGTTCGCACAATGGGAGCAGGCATTGTAGCTTCTTAGCTCGAAGCTGCAGGCACGAGATTCAGAAAAGGGTAGGGGGATCTCCGAAGTAGCTACAATTTGCACTTGGATCTGTTCGGCTTGTCTATCATCACGTGGCACCCATACCCCATGTTGGTGGAGTCAGCGGCTAGTCTAGTCAGGGTCAGCTGGAGCTTACACTTTGGGACCGCGTGATTGGCATAGACAGGGGACTCACACAACCCGGCAAACGATAGCAGGGAGCCTAATGCCTACATACGTCTCTGGTTATTCGGTAGGCCTGTTGGTCAGACATTCCATGCAGGTCTAGCTGGCTCACGCATGGATTAGGCCCACGCTGTGCTTTGATATAACGTTGGATACCCAAACACCTCGAAGTGTAAACACTGCGGGAGATATCAACGATACTGGCAAATTTCTACAACCAGCGATCGATGGGCATCCTGCAAAAGGAGCTCATGCGTGATAAATTATCACGAGACTTAGCGTAGCGTCGAGAACTTCTCCGCAACGGAATATGTCGGGCATGGAAGAATCTATTCACCGATGGACTTTCGGGATTAAATTGGCACCGGGTCTGTGCGCGAGGCTCACCACACTTCCAAAGTGCGCGTGTCCATACCATGCTCTATTTGATGGGGAGAAGACTAGTGACTTTTGCAGAAGTGAACTTCACGTCTCCGGAATCTCGCACTCGCCGGACAGAAATCTATTTGCTCTGGCGGGGAGCGGGTGGGGGTCACATTGAGAGATGAAGGACGAGATTTCCGGGTCCGGTGGATGAGGAAAAGGACAAGAAGTAATAGATTTCGCGTGCAAATGAGGTTGTAGCAGCAAAGCTTACAGGTTCCCCGAATACGTGCGATTATTTAGCAGCAGTCCATGTTGGTTGAGTTTCACTCGGTCGGCAAAAGAGAAGCGAATTTTCCCGTCTAGTATTGGACTGCCATCTTTACCGAGGCGCGTGAGTAAGCAGGCTGAGAGGCTGGGCTAAGGGTGAATCACAAGTGGTCGGCTGGCCTGGTGAATGGTAAACGATCAAGGCCGTGGTCATGGAGTGATGAAGGAAAGAATTTCGACCACAGATACCTTGAGTCCAGCTCGGTCTAACCGGTCACGTAACCCTGGCCGCTTTGGAGGGGATCTTTTGTCGTTCTATATTCCATGACTTAGTCACCATGTCTCCCCTGGGATGAGGCAATAGCCTTCGCTTTCGCCCGGTAGACAATAAAAATAAATAAATATAGTCCATGGCTCAGGCTGCACCATCCATCGCATGAACATATGGCCTTTGCCTCCCTGGTCCCTTGCTGCTTGTGCCGAGCATGTCGGGATTTCACCACTTCAAACATCTGGATTTGACCACTGACTCTACCATTGAGGACATTGCACCCATTGACCGGAAGTTTCCTCGTCGCTGTGCGTGATGACGCGAGCCCAAACTACTGTCTGACGAGACGAAGCTGCTCATGATTTACCGGCAAATCATAAAACTGTGGTAACACTGATACGGGCAGTGGCTATTTTTACCTGGTCTCACCCCTCTCAGCCCCTACCCTGTTCTGCGGCGCCTAATTGCCTGCGACAGAATCATCTAACGCCGCTCCCTATTGGGCCCAAACTGGATTCCACCATCATGGCGTGGCGGAGATCGTGACGGGCCGGATCCCCTAGTCTGGCAAAAACGAGACGTGAGATTTCTGCAACCAGCATATGTCATGGTGCGTAGCGAGGCGATGGGAAAAATGGATCAGAATCTGGCATTTTTGAAAAGAATTCAAATGTCCCAACATACATAGTTTTCTGAAATTAATTTCAGACAGTGTTCAACTGACTGATTTGCTGCCCTACTAGTCCTTGCAGGAGTCCATGAACTCTGCCGCTTGAACAAAAAGAACCATTACGCTTCATCCTCGGGGAATATACCTCCAAACTTCTTTTTTCGCTCCGTGATAAAGTTCCAGCTCCCCGAGGAAGTCGAAAATGCCTTAGCCATGGTCTGTTCTGTATTCTCTGTGTCATTCGAGCTATCTCATACGTCCTATTCTTGCCTTTGCACCTTGCCCACTCTGGGCAAGTCATCATCATATGTTTCATGTCTAGGAGGAATATCCACATTGACATCTTTGCCTAATGAATCTGTGGATTTCTACGCTACAGATATGTTTGCTTCTGTTTTGAGTAGCAATGCTGCTTTGGTCGGGTTACGATGGAGAAAGAATGAGTTTTTTGGTAGTCCAATTTTCGTTTATTGATGTCTGAATCTACCATTCTTAGGTTGCTAATCAACACAACCTATGCAGTTGCACCCTTCGCGCTCATTGCGAGCCTCTCACACAGGACTAGGCCGCATCAGGTTAATAATTATTTAAAGAACCTAGAACACATGGATAGCCAGACTGCACCCACGTGGTTGAACATGCCGAGTCTAACCGTTCAAAAGACTTTCTTTTGTATCAAATCCGTGCCTCATTTCTCCTCGAACACCACGCCCAGAATCCCTGAGCTTCTTTGCCTTTCCAGTTCGAGCATCTCTTCATCGTGCCTATAGGTTATTTTCGCATTTAGGATCCAAACCCGCCTCTAAATTCCACGGTCTTAGTTCCTTCCCACTACTCCCCGACCCCACCATTACTCTTGCCAACAGGACGTGGTAATCGGGTAGATGGATCACATCTCAGGCCTTTCGCGACTAGGTTCATCGCAGCAAGGAGAAGGACCCCGTCTCCGCGTACATCTAGGCTTGTTCGCCATTCTTTTTTTTCTTTTCTTTTGCCCAACCATCAGCTTAAATTGTTCGCGATTCGCATGTCTGTGGGAGTGAACTATCTTGAGTTACGCATGGTGGTAACCCTGGGCCCCTTCACTTCTATCATGCCACATACCTCCAGACCTTTAATAGACAGCAACATGTCTTGCTGGAGAATTATCGGTGCCGGGGGTATTCCTGCTTCACAATGAAAAGCGCTGGAGGGCAAGACTGAACACCTGTGCGCTGTGCCCTCTACGAAACCTGGGAGTGAAATATCGAACAAGTTGGCCCACGAGGCAATAATTCAAAACACTCCACCACATCAGTCTTTCACTCCCAAAGAGATCGATTCCTATCTAAGCCTCATCAAGTCTACACGTACGACCTATTACATCCTCATTCCAATGACCACACCTCTCTTCAACCTTCTCTGGCCTCAGTTGACCACCAAATACACGCCCACGCCAATATTTACACCCGACGGAGGAAGCCAAGCCTGGCGCACTGATCTGGGAGACAGTTCTTTGGGATGGATGTGAGAGGGATTAGTACAAGTTGACAAGATGATGCAAAGAATGGATACAGTCTTGACGGGCGTGAAATTTCGAATTTTGGAAATGAGCTTTTTCGGATTGAGCTTTGTGCGTGCGAAGGCTTCAGTTGCGAGAGTGCAGGCGACACTGTAAATACCGCCGTGGTTTGATGGTACGGTGGTACATCGTCTTGGCCGGTCTGCCTAGTAGAGTCTGGATAGTTTGGACACTTATCTCACTCGAGACGTTAGATCGCTAGTTCAAATCCGGCAAAGCACAACCACATTTCTCGCGGCGCTGGTATGTATGGATGACGAAGGCATGCTTGGATAACCAAAGGGTTTGAATTTCCCTTTAGTGGGTACTTATGGAGGAGGGACAACTGTTTGTATAAGCAAACATACCTCATAGTCGTAATTGTAAATGAAATCCACAGTATGAGTGTCTCTAACGTCAAAAGAGTAATCTTACACGTATTAATAGCACCGTTCATGTGTCATAGCTCTATAGCTGAATAGACATTAAATGACAAAAAAAAGAGGTATGTTTGCCTACACAAACACTCAACCCTCTTCCGTAAGTATCCACCAAAGGTAAATAAAAAATCTATCGATGTTGTAGGTCTAGAATATACATGCTCGCATGATCAAGTAAAAAATTGTTTCGGTCAGTCTTCCAAGTCTTAATCTAGACAGCCTGGACACTTATCCATTCTAGGAGGGAGACAATTGATGTAGAAACGCCAAATACAGACGCACCAGTAGTAGTGCCAGCGTATAGGGCTAAAAACATATTCGCATAATTAGAGCTGCAGAAAACTTGGCCTAGTGAGTGAGTAGAGACAAGAATTGACTGTCTTGAGGTAGCCGCCATACTCCAGAGTGACTCTTTCAAACGAAAAAATAGGTGACCTACCATTCAGGTCGAAAGAGTCGGCTATCGTGTATAAAACATGCTGGTTATGTTTCACAGCTAAATAGCTTCATTTGCAGCCATTTATAAAGGCTTTTCGCAATATTTCGAGTTCAATTCCCTGAAATATGCAGTGTTGGTGCAAACATTCGGAGGGGCGCGCTGTCAAATTCATACATGGGAGAGTGGGGATAGTGTGATAGGGGCGGTTTGAGTCGAGGGGAGCATGAAATCGATGGAGAAAAAGCGAATAAGGAGCCTCTAAGATAAACATGTAGTTTTGGATTTCATACTAGATTCCGGGCGCCTCTGAATTAAAGTTGATAATTGTCCTGATTTCGCGCCCTAACGCACAGACTGGGGTTTCCCGGAGACGTGTCATAAAGAATGACTTGTTTTGACGCCTAGGACACACTCACGCTCTAACTTCATTTGCTACTATCGCCCGGAGTTAGCCCTGGCGGCACATAATCCCTCCCTTGTACTCCCCGCAGTTTCCAGAGTATGCTTTGGTCACCCTGCAAATATGATGTCACTGCGAGAGAAAGTGGTATTTGGGTCTTGCTGGATACGGGGCAGCTTTCTCCTCTCATGTATGACATATCTCCAAGCTCCCCAGTCTACTTCGGAGATGGACGCAGACGGCTCACCACTGCACCATC